CACAAAGATTCTTCTGTAATTCATCAGAAGCCCCATCTTAAGTATAATTACACTACACAGCTCTACTCAGTCATTAATTTCTTGTTTAGCGGCAATGTCCTTCATTTTTAATTCTTTGATGGTAATTATTTGTAACTATGCCCTTGAATTCTGAAAGCATGTATCCTTCAGCCCTGGGTGTTTCTGGACTACAACACTATTGACTTCTCACAGGCTTTCATGTAGGAAATGGCCTGTAACAACAGAAAATTTGCAATAGGTTTCTGAGCTTCAGTGACAATTCAAAATGAAGTTGTGTGGTTATGCATGTGTGTGTATGCACACTAAAAAACTAAAATCAAGTCATTAAGTAGAAGACGTTCAAATATATGTGTGTACACACACACACACACACACACACACACACACACACACACACACACACACACATATATTCTTCTTTTTCTTGAGTTGGCGTCTCACTCCATTGCCCAGGCTGGAGTGGAGTGGCAGGCTCACGGCCACCCCAGTGTTGACCTGCTGGGCTCCAGTGATCCTTCTGCCTCAGCCTTCCAAGTAGACGGAACTACACACGTGCGGCTACCATACCCAGCTAAGTTTTTGATTTATTGTAGAGACGAAGTCTCGTGAAGTTGTCCAGGCTGGTCTTGAACCCTTGGGCTCAGGCAATCCTCTCACCTTGACCCCCCAAAGTGCTGGTATGACAGGCTTATATTTTTAACCCTTAGTGACCAAGTCATTTTAAAGTTTTTGACAGTTGCTTAAATTAAGGCATATTAACGCACAGACTGTTTGACCTAAGAGTAAGGATCTTTAGTTCCACCAGTCTTTTTTTTTTGGCAGAAAAAGTCTTATGTTTTTATTAATTTATGTGCCAAAAACTGTATTGGTGCAGAGAAAAGGGTCCTTAGAGAGACTGCCCTCTAAGAAATCACAGGCTAGTGGCTAAGGAAGATAAATAAATCTAAAGAAACTGATTATCCTCAGGCCTGGGAGAAAGAGCAGATCACGCTCCTGTTAAAACCTAAATGTTCCAGCTTTTTACACATGCTTGCTAATGTGTTACCTCCTCAAAGCTGGAAGTTTCCAGGGATGCCTTACAATCTTGTTCCTGCTCCCCTTGGAACTTACACTCCCCAATTTCACTGGCATTAACATAGACTATACTCTGCATATAAAGACCAAATACCCAATCTTGGTCTTTGTGAGAGAGCGCGTCCTTTCTAGGTGCCTCACTGGGACTCTGGCATTGGGTCCTGTAGCTTACCATTGCCTCTGCAACATGTCACTCCCTTCTGTCATTCTTGTCTTTTCTTCTTTGTCTTCCTCACTCAGGTTTTGTTCTCTTTGGCTCTTTGGTAAGCCACATTTACGTCTTTACATATGGGAAGTATTTTTGGTCAACATTAAAAACCTGTAATGTGCTCCTTGGCAAAATGATTTGCTAAGCAAGGCTGACTTCAACTTGAAAGAAAAGCTTTCAGTTGGCAACAAAAGTCCCACAAACCACTCTAGCCACAATGTAATTCTTATGCATAAAAGCTAAATATACTTTACATGCATATATTAAATAAGGTCTTCTTTCCCAGTGCAAGGATGCAAGTATTGGCGTGATTAAGATTTTTATTATTGAGCCACACGTGGTTATAGAAGTCTGTATAGACATTTACATTTTCCTAAAACACTGGCTTTACAGTAGGAACCAGAATGATTTTCTTAGGGATTAACTTCCTGGCCAGGAGGCACAAAAGAGAACCAGGAAGAAACAATATTTGTAGAGTGCCTGTTATCTTCAAGGCATTGTGCCAAGGGCTTTATACCCAGTTTCACTGAATCTTACCACCAGTCCTAGGTGGTAGAGGTAATTGGATGATCCCACCCACAGAGGGGAAGACTGGGGCTTAGGTCGGTTAGTAAACCGGTTTAAGTCTTTCAGCTCTTCCTCATTCTATCAGGCTGCTCCCTCGTTGTTGAGATGCCAAAGGTAGCCTAGTGTTGCCAAGTTTCTTGCCTCATTTTTGTGCAAGAAACTTGCTTTTCCTTTCTTCATAAAGCAGTGAAAACCCAAGGTCAGGTTTGGTTTTGATATGACTTGTCTGAAAGAATGACCGGCGCCCATGGCTGGTCACCCAACGCATGAGGACTATAACTGAAGAGCAGGTGGTGAGCAGGCTTCCTCTCCAGCTGTTACACAGGCCAACAACAGCTATAGCTTTGCACCCAGGCAGAATTGAATTAGAATCCCGTCTCCACTACCACTTGAGTGACCCTGGGAGAGCTGTTTATTTCTTTCAGACCTCAGATTTCTCAATGGTAACATGAGGGAATGCTGCCTACCTCACAGCACTATAGTAAGAACTGGAGAGAACATACAGGAAGGACTTGGCAAACATTTGGTAATTATTCATCCTTCTATCTCTGCCTTTTCTCACCAGGCACAGCTACTGCATTCGCCAGTGCTTTGCATGAGTGGGCCTGGGCCTGCCCCAGTTTCTCAATCAGCTCTGATCAGTTTTTACAGTTGAAGCCCATTTGACCACGGACCTGACATGCCTAGATCCTGCGATAACCGCCTCCTCTTCTGGTGTGCCCCCCAATCCTCTTTCATCTCCAGCCCAAGCTCTGGCTATGAAGGCACTGAACTTCCTCCTGCTGCTAGGCCTTCTCTATCAGACACCCACAGCCACCTTCACCCTGGGCAGTGCCTGAGCTCGCTATAGCCCTTGATACTTAGAATGCTACCACAGAGCTGGCCTTCATAACTGTGTGTGGTCATCCTATTCAGTGCTTACTATCATTATCATTCAGAACATTTTCGAGGGTCCACGGCCTGTAATAACACAGGCATAGTCCAGGCAATTGAGCTGAGTGCTATACGTGTATTATCTCCTTTAATCCACATCATAATCTTGCAAAGTAGGTACTCTTAATACCTGAACTTAAACATTAGGAAACTGAGGCTTGGGAAAGTTAAGGACTTTTCCACACATCTAGTAAGAAAGAGGTAGGGCCAGGTCCAGGGTTCCAAGTAAGAGCTCACGGACATGACACCACACTATTTTTCGTCCCACCTGTCAACCCTCTCCCTTCTCCCTCTTTTCTGACTGATGTGTGCTCCACAGAGTAGCTGCTTTCTTTTTTTTGAGTTGGAGTCTCACTCTGTCACCCAGACTGGAGTGCAGTGGCATGCTCCCAGTCACTGCAGCCTTGACTTCCTGGACTCCAGCGATCCTTCCACCTCAGCCTTCCAAGTAGCCAGAACTACAGGCATGCACTACCATGCCCAGCTAATTTTTGATTTACTGTAGAGATGAGGTCTCACCAAGTTGCCAGGGGAAGGTCTCGATCCCGCGGGCTCAGGCAATCCATTCGTCTTGGCCTTCCAAAGTGCTGGGATGACAGGCTGAGCCACCGAGCCCGGTCAATAGCTGTTTCTTTCTTTGCAGCACTTTTCACAATGTGCTGACATCAACTCATCTATGTCTTGCATTATAAAGGGGGGCTTCCTGAAAGTAGGGACAACGTTTTACTTGTTTCTGTATGCCAGTGTGTTGCACAATGCCTGGCACAAAGTGAGTACTTCAGAGGATGTTTGTTGATTGAATGTGTTGGCTTTTCTTTTCTACCTGCTGTCTTACGTTGCTGCAGTCTCAGGGTATCCTCTACCCAAACTCATCTGAGCTATGACAGCTCTAGAATTCTCATGGGTCTGCAATGATGTGTGAATGTGTGTCTATATAAGCCTGTGTGTGTTTGCTGTGGTATCAACTAAAATGATAGTTTTCCATAAACTTACCTCCATGAAAAACTTTTAGCCGTCAAGTTTCTTTCGTTTTCTTTCATCTGGAAACTTTCCACAGCCTTTCTTTGTCCATATGACATAGACATTTCTGAAAAATATAGTCCATTAAAAAATCAAATGTTCCCCTTTTAGGGTTTGTCTGATGTTTCCTCATGATTAGATTCAGGCTGTGCATTCCCAGCCGAAGCGATGCTGTTTCCTTCTCAGGCTGTCACATCTGGAGGCGCATGATGTCCATTTGCCCATCTGAAGTTAATTTTGATCACCCAATCAAGATGTTGTCCTATTTCTTCCCTGTATAGTTAACATTCTTTCTCCTCTTGTAACTAATAAACAATCTGTGAGGAGATATTTTAGGACTATGCATATTCCTGTTACTCATCAAAATTCCCTCCTGGATCTGTTGATGATTCCTGCCTATACCTAACTTTTTAAATGTATGCATTTATTGTTATTTCATCAGCGTTGGGGGGTATAAATGGCTTCTGGTTACATGGCAGCATTGTATAGAGGCGGAGAAATCTGAGCTTTAGATGTACCCCCACCCCCACCTGTGCCACTTGTACCCGGGAGGTGATTTTTCATCCCTCTGTACTTTTCTCTCCTCCCCTTTCTGAGTCCCCAGTGCCCATTATATCACTCTCTGTGCCGTTGCAGACCCCTAGTTTAACTCCTACTTATAAGTGAGAACTTGTGGTGCTTGGTTTTCTGTTCCTGAGTTAGTTCTCTTAGGATGATGGTCTCCAATTCCATCTAAGATGCTACAAAAGATATTATTTCATTCTTTTTGATCACTGAATAGTATTCCATGTGTATATACCACATTTTCATTTTCCACTGATCAGTTGATGAGCATTTAAGTTGATTCCAGATCTTTGTCATTGTGAATTGTGCTATGATAAACATCTCAGTCTGTACCTATCTTTAATATGATGATTGCAAAATGACAATTCTGCAATTAAATGCAATATGTGACCTTAGACTGGATCCTGTACAGGAGGGAAAAAAATGCCATAAAGGACATAGAAGAAGCATTAGATGTCCCCAGAGGTACAAGTCTTCCAATCACTGGGACTGAATGGTTCCCAAGTCCCATGCGACAGCCTATGGCCCTGTGTGAGACTTCTGTCACTATCATGGTGCCTGTATGGAGGCAGCCACCTAAATGATAGTGGTATTTTGAAAGGGAAGACTCTAATTCTGGTTGAACATGTCTCTGTTTTCTTTATTAAAAGACAATGCAGAAATGACAAAATGATACTAAAGGGTCTTGAATATAGATGAAATCACAGAGGTCCCTAATGCAGTGATGCAGAACCTTCTGGCATTAGCACTTGCAAACCCTGTTCAGTCACCATTCATGATTGCTGAATACTCCTTCTGGTGTTCAACCAGCTTCAGGAATACTTGATATTTCTTGTCATAATATCTGTGGGAGAAAAATGATTATGTTGAGTAATCTCAAGATGAAACTGCCCTGTGTTCCCCTTACATTTAGCAGAATGGGGATACATCTGCTGTGGTGATGCTGACACCACTCGGGTTTTGAATGCTTACAGCACCCTGATCAATGGGCTAGCATGCTTCACACCTACTATATACAAAGCTACACGGAGCGTTATTATCTGTGCTTTAGAAAGAAGGACACGTGCAGCACTATTCACAACAGCAAAAACATGGAACCCACTGTGCTGCCCATCGAAGCTGGACTGGTTTAAAAAAAAGGGGTACATATACACAATGAAATATCATGCAGCCATCAAGAAAGACAAACATCTGGACTTTGCAGCAAGTTGGATGGATTTAGAGTCGATCATACTCATGATCTATCACAGAAACAAGAACAGAGTACCATATGTTCTCACTCAAAAGCAGATCTTGAACAATGATCATAATACTATAAGAAAGGGATTAGCAGTAGTAGGAAACTGCCGGGGGTGGGGGGGGGCATACCTTATCAACAAGGGTACCTGCATAATGAACTTTTATATACTTAATGCTGAATTGTACCCCACATCTTTAATAAAGAAATAAAACAAATAAAGAGAAAGAAGGACATATGCTCAGAGAAGCATGTACAAAGTAGTATGGCTAAAAACTGGCAGAGCTGGAATTCAAACTCATGTTTGTCGGACTTCAAAGCCTCTTCTGTATGTACTGAAAGGCCTGGGCCTAATAGAGATCCTTTCTCATTCCCAGTTTCAATAAATATTTCCTATATGACTAGCTCCAGGACTGATGACTGCCATAAAGCCACAGCCTGACCAGGGATAAGATTGGGCATATTAATCACCCTTTTGAGATTCCACACCTAGATTTCCCTTGCGGACTGCTTGATCGAGGAGTAAAACCCCATGGAAATGTGACCGATGTCTTCCCCGGAGCAGTGCCCTGCCTTCTAGGCATCTTAGCATGGCCCCTGCGCTCCCTGTCTTCTCTGGCTGACTCTCTGGGTGGGACCTGTTAGAACTGGTGTTGGCCACGAATCAGACAGCAGAGCGACCAGAGCTGCTTTGGCATCACAGTCCTGAAAGAAATAATAGCAGCCAGGGCAAATTATACTTGCAGCCTTGAAACTCTGTCCTTACTCCTGGGTGGGGAAGCTAACTTGGGGTGTGGGGTTGATGAAGCCAGCTTAGCATGTCTTGGTGATTCTGGGGTGTCTGAAAAGGAGTCCTCATGAGGGAGCTTTGGTGCAAGCTTATGTACTGGGGGTGAGAGGTTGTAAGGGTAAGCCTGTACATACATAGGGACTTCTACTTGTCACACAGAGCTATGTTTATAGGCGTCTCCTCCCCAGCATTTCTACCCTAGGCATTCTGGTAATGTGGGCATCTGTGGTGGGGTCAAACACAGGGTTCAGAGGTAGACTCCGAAGCCTGGGTTTGAATCTCAGTGTGGCCTGTTACTAGCCGTGAGACCTTGGATATGTTACTGAATCTTCTTTTGCCTAAACTTCCTCATCTGTAAATGGGGATAATTATAGGATCTACCTCAAGAGGACTGTTGTGTAAATTAAAAGTAGAATATATGAAAGCACTTAGAACAATGCCTGATTCTAAAGTGATATTAGTGCTAGTTATTACCTTTTAAATCATTAATATTTTAATATTATCAATTTAGCTATAGGTAGATACTACTAAAACCTACTTTATGAGCCTTCAACTTTATCAATCATAGAATGGTTTCAGGAACATCAATGATACTCTATGATAAAATAACAGCAAGCAATTATTTCACTACAGGAGATGATTTTCTTGACTCTGGAATCTCAAAACTGCTAGAAGGAGCTCAGGATAGCACCTCTTCTCATATACTAGAAGATTTCCAATTTTGCAGCAACTTTGTTCACTGGCCTTATTATACGATATTTGTCTTTTTATGATTTCTTATTTCACTTAGCATGATATCCTCAAGATTCACCCATGTTGTAACATGTGTCAGAACTCCCTTCCTTTCAAGGCTGAATGATATTTCATTGTAAGTACATATAGCATTATTTGCTTATATGTTGATCTACTGTTGAACATTTAGATTGTTTCCATAGTCTTAGCTATTGTAAATAATGCTGCTATGAACGTCAGTGTAGAAATACTCCTTTGAGGCCCTCTTTTCAGTTATTTTGAGTGTATACCAGAAGTAGAACTGTTGAATCACATGCTAATTCCATTTTTAATTTTTTGAAGAATGGCCATACTCTTTTCCATAGCAGCTGTATTATTTTACATTGTCACCAACTGTGCACAAGACTTCCAATTTCTCCACATCTTTGCCAATGCTTGTTATTTTCTGTGTGTTTTTAAAAAATTTTTGTATTTTTATTTTTAAAGATGTGGGGTACAATTCAGAGTTAGTTACACAAATGTTCATTATGCAGGTACACTTGTTGATGAGGTGTGCCCCTCCCTCCCCTGGTAGTTTCCAACTACGGCTAATCCCTTTCTTATAGCATTATGATAACTGTCTGTGTGGTTTTTTTAATAGTAGTCATCCTGATGGGTATGAGGTGGTATCCCATTGTAGTTTTGATTTCCCTAATAGTTAGTGATGTTGAATATCCTGTCACATGCTTATCGGCCATTTATATGTTTTTTTTTTTTGAAGAAATGTCCCTTCAAGTAACCATTTTTGAATTGGGTTGTTTTGGGGTTTTTTGTTGTTGTTGTTTTTGCTGTTGTTGTTGTTGAATTCCTAAAATTCAGTAACAAAAACATGCAATTATTTTCTGGATATCAACTTCTTACAAGATATATGATTTACCAATATTTTCTCCTGTTCTGAGGATTGCCTTTTGACTCTGCTGATTTTTTTACTTTGTGTCTTTAAAGCACAAAGTTTTTCAAAGCATTTTTATCTGACTGTTCTAGAGCCACATATAAATTTAGACTGGGTACAATGATGGGATTTGGAGTCTTCCTTAAAATTTACTTACTACACTACAATTCTTAGATTAGGCTCTCTGTGATTCTGACTTTTAAAATAAGCTGAATTCCTTCTCTTCCAAAATCTCCCTACCTCAATCCATCACTTCTGTGTGGCACAGAACTAAGCACATGCCCAGTACAGCTAACAATGTGATCTGAACAATAGATAGGAGAGTAGCTCAGAAGGAAACTGGCTTCCTCTTTCTGCTTGCAAATGTCTGGGTGGCCTGCAGATGGTAGTACAGTACCGCGTGTGCTTCCTTCACGGGCCAGCTGCCCGGTAAAAAGTCAAGGAGTTTTCTGAAAAGGAGTCTGTGCAGTTTACTCAAAGAACTTAAAAACAGACTTCCCTCAAAAGTCTTGCGAGGGCTAGGGAAGAGATGAAGGAGGGCCATCTCTTTCTAATTTCGCAAAAAGAGGGATGCTCCAACTGCCCTCAAGGTAGCAGAAAGAATAGAGCAGCCCATAGCTCCCACTGCCGGTGGCACTCAGATCTCAGGTTCCTCATGTAAGGGCCCCGTGCAAGGGTCTGCTCCTCCCTGGCATTTAGAGAAGGATCTGTAGTCAGAGGGTTAACAGCCTGGCTCCATCTTGAGACAAATAAGAAAATGAAAAGAAACTGGATTACTTTTCCCATGGACATTTCAAACTCTGTTAACTACCGATTGTGCTTTGATGGGATCCGCACCTTTGCCTGTCCGTTATGGGAGGTGGAATTTGTCTTCCTGTCCTGACCGCAAATGCTTTCCAGAAATGATAAAGACACTTGCACAACTGTCCTTTCGTCTTCAATATCATGACCAGTAAATAATTAGAGGTCTTTTGATCTCTAACCTGCATTATTGAAAAGGCCCTCCGACTAGTCTTTTTTACTTGTACTCTTAGCCCCTCGACTAACTCCTTTAAGGGGGATCGGTCTAGTCTGCATTTGACCAGGTCACACCACTGATTAAAATTCAGTACCTTGCTCTGCAGGATGAGGTTCAAGGTCTTCAGCATGGCCTCCAAGCTCTTTATGAGCTGACTTCCCCCTCCCCAAATCTACCCTCTCCCAGTTCCCCAGTCTGCCATTTCCCATCTCATATTTGGTGTTTGGAATTATGAGTTGTTTAGAGTTACCTGAACGTAATATGCTGTTCCCATTTCTATCACTGCACATGTTATTCCTTCTACCAAGAATGTTCTTCCCTGCCTTGGCCTGTCTACCAATTTCTTTGAAGCAGTTAAACTCAGCTTAGACCTGACCTCCTCTCAAAAGCTTACTTACCTCTACAGGGTCATGCCTCTTTCTTCCTGGGCATGTTTTGTCACCTAGTAATACTTCTGTTATGGAACTATCCCTCTGTTCTGAACTGTTCTATATGCATAAGTCAGAGTGTGGTTTATTTCCCTCTAAATTCTGTCTGGAGCCCAGTATAATGCTTTGAATACAGCAGAAACTTACTAAATTAATATTTTGTTGATTTAGGGTTAACACACTGGCCAAGGTCATTTTGTAGCCCTCGATGCCAAGTGATACAAAGGGCAAAAGAATGGACAGATGCTACTGAATCCTTTGATGGGAGATATAAGAGATCCCTACTTTAGAACAGAGAAGACCAGGTTTGATGCCTATGACTTAGGAAAAAGGATGTTCTGAAAGTTGAGAAGCTTGCATCTGACCCTCAGCTCTGGCCCCATTTAGCTCTGCAATCTTAGGCAAGTGAAAATGACTTTACCTCCCTGGGTCTCAGTTTTCTCAACTATGAAGTGAAAGGACTGACCTAGTTTATCCCAGACCTATAGCTGCATGCACTTGTATGCTCGTGATTCCTTAGTATTGTGCATATAAAACATATCAACTTACTTTTTGTCTTCCAGTCTCGGGAACACAACTTTCCCAACTTTGCTCATTTTTGCCATTGCTGCCTGTTAAATAGAAAACAACACAGAAAGCTGAGTTGGAAAGCTAAATCCAAAGAGGGGCTTCTAACAGGTAAGACCATTCTACTTAGATCTCACTTCCCTTTAAGATATTCAGTTAGGCCGGGCTTGGTGGCTCAGCCTGTAATCCCATGCTTTGGGAGGCTGAGGTGAGTGGATTGCCTGAGCC